CTGTCTCCTTCTGTCTCCTTCTCTTTTTTGTCTCTTTCTGTATTCTGTCTCCTTCTGTCTCCTGTCTCCTTCTGTCTCCTGTCTCCCTTTCTGTCTCCTTTTTTCTCCTTTTCCCTTTTTATTTTATCTTTTTTAGTTTTTTTTGTCTCCTTTCTGTCTCCTTCTCTCTCCTTTTCCCTTTTTATTTTATTTTTTTTAGTTCCTTTCTGTCTCCTTCTCTCTCTTTCTTTTTATTTTATTTATTTTATTTTTTTTGTCTCCTTTTTGTTTGCTGCTGCTGCAGTGTCTCCGTGGCACGACGACCCCGCCTGGCTCTTTGAGGATACCGACGCCGCCCCCCTGGCGTCTCCAGCTGTCTCCGCAGCAGAAGCAGCAGCAGCAGCAGCTGCTGCTGCTGCTGTTACAGCAGCAGCAGCAGCAGCAGCAGCAACTACTGATGCTGCTTTGGCCTCCACCGCAGATGAGGTTCAACAGATACACCCTGCAGCGGAACAGCAGCAGCAGCAGCAGCAGCAGCAACAGCAGCAACTCCAGCCACAGCAGCAACAGCAGCAGCAAGAGAAGCAGCAGCAGCAGCAGCAGCTAGAACAGCAGCAGCAGCAGCCACCCCTCACTCCCTCCTTTATGACTCCGCAGCAGCTCCCGCCCCAGCAACCTCAAGAGCAGCAGCAACTGCAGAACGGGTTGCAGCAGCAGCAGCAGCTAGACCAGCAGCAGCAGCCGCTGCAGCAGCACGAATGGGGGCTGACTGACAGATCCCCTGCAGAAGCTGCAACAGCAACAGCAGCAGCAGCAGCAGCTGCTGCTGCTGCTGCTGCACCTATCATTGCCGGTGGCTTCGCAGCGGAAGCCTCCTTAGGTCAGAGCCCGCAGGCTGCAGCAGCAGCAGCAGCAGCAGCAGCAGGAGCAGCAGCAGCAGTACCATTTTCCCTGCTGCAGCAGCAGCAACCACTGAGCGCGGGACCCCCGGACGCAGCAGCAGCAGCAGCAGCAGCAGCAGCAGAACCAGCAGCAGCAGAACCAGCAGCAGCAGCAGCAGCTCCAAAGGAAGTAGCAGCAGCATCAGCAGCAGAAGGTGGAACAACAGCAGCAGCGCCACCAGCAGTAGCAGCAGCAGGATCAGCAGCAAATAAGATATACATACGGCATAATGTTGCTGCTGCTGCTGCTGCTGCTTCTCCTGCTGCTGCTCATTGTGTGGGGCCCCGAGGTGTCCCGTTTGCCCTCAGCAGCAGCGGGCTGTTTGCTGCTGCAGCAGGAACAACTGTCTCCTGCTGCAGCACTATGAAGCTGCTTGCTGCTGCAGAGGCCTCCCCTGCTGCTGCTCCTGCTGCTGCTGCTGCTCCTGCTGCTGCTGCTGCTGGCGAGCCTGCTGCAACTCCTGCTGCGCTGCTGTGTCAGCTGCTGCTGGAGTACCCAGGGCCCCTGGGGGCCTCGGACCCACGCACCACAGCAGCACTTATCTCCTTTCTTACTAGAGCTGTTGCTCTGCGCATGCAGCAGCAGCAGCAGCAGCAGCAGCAACAAGAGGAACAGCAGCAGCAGCAGCAGCAGAAGCAGCAGAAGGGGATATGCGCTGTGCAGGTAGCTGGTCTGTGGCAGCTGCTGCTGCTGCTGCTGCAGCACAACGGAGACATCGCAGCAGCAGCACAGCGGCTCTTCCCCAAGACAGAGCTCCCTGCAGCAGCAGCAGCGCTCGAGGCCCAGCAGCAGCAGCAGCAGCAGCAGCAGCAGGCAGTGAGCAGCAGCAGCAGCAGCAGCAGCGGGAGCTGCAGCTGTGGTGGTTTGGGTGCTGTCGGGCGACAGCTCTGCTGCGGTGATGCTGCTGGGGCTGCATGCACTGCTGCAGCTTTGGGGCTGCATGCGCATGCACTGGCAACAGCAAACGCAGCAGGAGCAGCAGCAGTCGACGGGGCCCTCGCAGCTCTAGCAGACACCTTGCAGCCACCCTCAGCTGCATCACCATCACCACCAGCAGCAACAGCAACACCAGCAGCAGCAGCAGCAACAGCAGCAGCAGCAGCAGCAGCAGCAGCAGCAGCAGCAGCAGCAGAGTGCTGCAGAGGCCGCGCATGCACTGTCTGGGTAGCAGCACTGGAGCGGCTCTACAGGGCCCTGGGGAGGGCCCCCCTGCCCCCTCCTTCGCTGGGTAGGGGGCCCCCACTGTTTATATATATATATATATATATATATATATATATATATATATATATATATATATATATATATATAT